TAAATACATAAAGTTAAATAAAATAATTATTTTTTTAAAAAGTAATTTAAAAAAATTGAAGCCAGCTCTGTGGCTTGGTAGTAGATGTGGCCAGATTCCACATGGCCACTCACACCAGTTCAAGCCCTGGACCTGGCAGACTGAGAAACATGTCAGGTGTGTGTGCGTGCATGTCCGAGATCCCAAAAGGAGGGGAGGGGGAGGGGATGGAACCACGGTATGACCATTCCCTGTGGGGAAGGGCTGCTTTGTCCTCTCCCTCTCTCTGTCTCTTTCTGGCAGGTACACAAGCACTTTAGCAAAGAGGAAAAAAAAAAAAAACAGTTGAAAAGGATGGTTTGAGTTTCTGTCTTTGTATTCAGGTTCTGCCACTGAAATCCTTTAAATAAGCTATTTTCACCATTTTCAAATAAAAAAAAAAAAAAAAAAAGAGGTAGGTATCTGAACATCCCCAGGTTAAAATGAGGAGTAAGCGGGCTGAGCCATGGAGAACCTAATGGGAGGAACAAAGGATCCTGAATGAGTTTTTAGGTGCCTGGTTTTTTAAAAAAAAAAAAAAAAAAAGAGGTAGGTATCTGAACATCCCCAGGTTAAAATGAGGAGTAAGCGGGCTGAGCCATGGAGAACCTAATGGGAGGAACAAAGGATCCTGAATGAGTTTTTAGGTGCCTGGTTTTTTAAAATTTTTTTTGGAGGGGTTTTTGCTATAGGGCACATGTACTCGCCAGACAGAGAGAAACAGAGAGACAGAAAGTGAGCATACAGCCCTGCAGGGGGAATGGCCATGCCACAATCCCTTCTCCTCCATTCTCCTCTCGGGATTTTGGGCATGCACGCGCATGCACCCAGCGTGACTTTTAAGCCGCCAGGTCCAGGACTCGAACTGTGGTCAACTACGTGGGAGTCCAGTCTCAACCATCACGCCATCTGCTAGTCTCTCCTATTAACACTTTTACCACCACATACTAAATTTCCACTTAAGTTTGATGGACCTCCATGATCTGATTCCTCCTCATCCTCCCACTCCAATCTCCTCGCCGCGGGCGACTACGTGGGAGTCCAGCGACATAGCCATTATGCTAACTGCTGGTCTCTCGAGCATTTTTACCACCATCCCTCTCTCCTGTGAGGAAAACTGAAGTTTCTATCTATTAATTTAATATTTTTATTTAATTTTATTTATGATTATTATTTTTAAAATCGCTATAGGGCATGTGGGCATGTGCACTCACTGGAAAGAGAGACAGAGAGAGAGAGAGACAGAGAGGGAAAGTAAGAAAGCAAGCTACTTGGTCCGGGACTCAAACCATGGTAAGCCATGTGGAAGTCCAGCGCCTCAACCTCCATGCCACCTACTGGCCTCTCTGAAGGTTCAACTCAAAGAGCACCAACACTCAGTGTTCTTGCTACTGTCAAGCTGTGAAGGAAATCTCTGTCTCAAGTTTATAATTACTGCTTGGTCAAAGTAATAGCACCACTAAGACCTTCCCTGTGCTTCAGTAAGTTGTTAGGTCTCAAAATGGCACCACTGTTCCACTTCTGGATATACATACCTAAAAGAATTTAAAATAGGGACTTGAACAGATATTTGGATGCTCATGTTAATAGCAGCTGGAGGCCAGCAGGTGGCATGGTGGTTAAAAGGTGGTGGACTCCCACGGGCCGACAGCAGTTTGAGTCCTGGACCCGGTAGCTTGAAAATCATGCCAGGCACATGTGTGAGTGTGCCCAGAATCCCAGGAGGACAATGGAGGAGAAGGGACTGTGGTGTGGCCATCCACCCAGGGGGTGATTTCTTACTTTCCTTTTCACAGTATCTATGTCTCTCTCTCTCTGGAGAGTGCATATGCCCCATGGCCAAAACCTTTTTAAAAAAAGGCAGCTCTGTACACAACAAGCAAAAAAATTAATGCAATTCATGTGCCCACTGACAGATGAATGAATCAACAATAAACGTTAGAAGTTGGCAGGTGGCTCGGTAGTTAAGACACTGGATTCCCACATGGCTGACTGCAATTCAAGTCTTAATCCTGGCAGCTTGCTTTCTCTATACATACACACACACACACACATAAATACAAAAATAAATGTGTTACATGCAAATAATAGAATATAAATCAGCCTTCTAAAAGAGGGAAAATCAGGTGGTATAGTAATTAAGGGTGCTGGATTATCAGATGGCTGACTGTGGTTTGAGTCCCAGACCCAGGTGGCTTGCTTTTTCACTTTCTCTCTCTCTCTCTCTCTTGCTCTGTCCCTCAAATTAAAATAAATAAATAAATTTTAAAAGTTAAATAAAATTTTAAAAAAGAGGAAAATTCTGATTTCTAATATGACATGGACGAATCTTGAAGACATGCTGAGTGAAACAAGCCAGTCACAAAGGGATAAATATTGTATGATCCCACATATACGAGGTGCCTGGAACAGTCCAATCGATACTGACAGAAATGGATTGGCGGTTGCTCGGAAATGGGGAGCTATTCAGTGGGTACAGAGCTTCAGTCTGGGAAGATGAAAGTGAGAAATCACATCCCCAGTGGTCACCTCGCAATCCTTTCTCCTCCACTCTCCTCTCGGGATCTTGGGCACGCACACACACACGCCCGGCATGAGTTTAAGCCACCGGGTCTGGGACTCAAACCGCGGTCAACTACATGGGAGTCCAGCAACATAGCCACGATGCCAATTGCTGGGCTCCATTACATATATTTTACAAAGCGACCACGACAACACTGCTTTCAGTTTGATAAAGTAGAGAAAGCACAAAGACGAGAATTCTAAGATGCAGGCCCTTTGTTCTCTCACAGCTCGCCTTAAGACTGCGCATTCTTTAACCCAGCAGTGCCCAACACCCCTGGCACCACGGACTGGTTTTGTGGAAGACTATTCTTCCATGAACTCAGGTGGTGTTGCGGGATGATTCAAGTGCAATACATTTATTGCGCACTTCATTTCTATTATACACTGTAGTATGCTGTGAAATAAGGATATGACTCGCTATAACGCAGTACTTGCAGCGGCCCCCCGCACGAGTATCACTGCCTCAGCTCCACCTCAGAGCATCAGGCATCAGATATTCATAAGGACTATATAAACTGGACTCCTCACATGCACTGTTCACAACAGGGTTCACGCTCCTACGGGAAGCTAATGCCTCCACTGATCTGACAGGAGGTGGAGCTAGGCAGTAATGTGAGCTATGGGGAGTGATTGTAAATGCAGATGAAGCTTCGCTCACTTGCCTGCCCACTGCTCACCTACTGCTGTGTGGCCTGGTTCCTTAACTGGTCAGGACCCCTGCCTTAACCTCTCCAAATGCTATCAGGCTCATGGATTTGTACTGAAGATCAAATAAGAATGCATGAGAAGGTGTCTGAAAGAACCGAAGCTTCACATATGAATGTAAGGCCCTATCATGACGAGCTTAAACCCGTAAACAGGTACCAACGAGCTACGGGGTGAGAAGGGTCAAAGAACGTTAAATTCCCTCACCTCCTGTACAAGTGGTTGCTGGAACAATGGAATGAGAGGATTCGTCCTTGGAATGTCAATGTGAATCTGAAAAAGAGAAGCCATGTCCAAAAACATAAATGGCAGTTTGTTCTTTTGACAAGTGATTTTCTTAAAAAATGAGAATCAAAAGAGTAGGCATTAGGGCACAATTTATCTTTAGAGAGAACTGATTGGGCACCAGCAGATCGTGTAATGGTTCCACATAGTTGACTGTGATTCGAGTTCCAGACCCGGTGGCTTATAACTCATATGCCGGGTAAGTGTATGTACGTGCCCAAAATCTCGAGAGGAGACTGGAGGAGAAGGGACTGTGGTGTGGCCTTCCCCTCTAGGGGATGATTTCTCACTTTCTGTCTCTTTGTCTCTCTGGTGAGTGCATGCACCTTATACCAAAAATCTCTCTCCCCCCCCAAAAAAAAAAAAACGAAGGAAGAGGGGCTGGCGTGGCGTGGTGGGTAAGGGCACTGGATTCCCACATGGCTGACTGTGGTTTGATTCCCTGACCTGGTGGCTTGTTTTCTCTCCTTCTCTCTCTCTCTCTTCCTCCCTCTTCCTCTCTCTCTCGGTCCCTCTTTGGTCAAATTAAAATAAATAAAGTTAAATAAAATAATTCTTCAAAAAAGGAAGAAGGAACAGATTGATGAAAAAAGTCTAGTTAAACCTTCCTGTCCATGTAGAGTATATCTCCTTGATAGCAGTAGCTTATTAAACAGCAAGGAAACCTTCCAAAAATAAACCACTTAAGTCAAACAGCAATAGGCTTCAAAAGACCTAAGAGACTTGAGTGCTTCCTCCCGTTGCTCTGGGGTCTGTTTCACTCCAGGCTGCCACTTACCGAACAGGTATGATCAAAGTGCACGCTCTTTCAGAATCTTACTCTTCAACAGTTCCCAAGAACTAAAAGAGCACAAACACGCCAGGACAGGCAACCAGGGAAGGACTCACTTATGAAGTCATGACGTGTAAGAACCGGGGAAGCACCGAGAGAGCTGGCCTTTATGAACTGGAACTGAAAGTTCTTTTTGTTTTTTGTTTTGTTTTGTTAGGTTTTGCCATAGGGCACATGCACTCACCAGAGAGGAGAGACGCAGAGAGAAAGTGAGAAATCACTCCCTGGGGGGATGACCACAACATAATTAATCCTTTCTCCTCTATTCTCCTTTTGGGATCTTGGGCACGTTTATGCACACATGCTCGGCAGGTTCAACTCACCCAGTGACTTGAACCGTGGTCTTCCCTGTGGGAATCGAGTCGTCTTAGCAACCACGCCACCTGCTGGCCCCCAGCTGAAACTTCTTACTTCTGTTTATGAAGAGCTCACTATAATTGGTTTTGGGTTCGAGGATTTTTCAATGCCCAGTCCAACTATCCTAAAGACGGTTCTACCCAGTAGTAGTAGAGGCTGCTTCTGCTCTTGAGGCTTGCAGGAAACTGACCCCTCTTCCACCTTCCTACCGTGAGACCACTCTTCTCCTGCCACACGTGATGCTTCCAGCAGGCCTTTGCCCAGGCCATGGGGACCACTGTGGCAGCGATGGGAGGCTCCCTGCCAAGATTTACTGATAGCTACAGCTCCTACACATAGACAGACAGACATGGGTGCTGAGGAGGCACTGCGGCTGCCAGAAGACACAGTGATGTCACAGTCTGAAAGGACTGGGCCATTCCTGAATGGACATGTGTCTCCCTCTGCGTTCCCTAACACCACTCAAATGAGGTCTGTGGGCCTGCAGCACCAGTGTCACTGGGGAGCTTGTTAAAAGGCAGGCCTCACCCCAGATCGACTGAATTGGAATCTGCATTTTCTCATAATCCCTAGGTGGGATTTTATCAAGATCCTAGGTGATTTGTATGCAGATTAAATTTTGAGAAGCACTGCCACTGAAGTGCTAAAAAAGGCTATCTAGGGGCTAGGCAGGTGATATGGTGGTTAAGATACTGGACTCCTATATGGCTGACTGTGGTTCAAATTCTAGACCTGGCAGCTTGGTTTCTCACTTTCCCTTTCTGTCTCTGTCTGGTCAAATTTAAAAAAATAATAATAGGGATCAGCAGGGGGTGTAGTGGTTAAGGCACTAGATTCCCACATAGCGAACCATGGGATTTGAGTCCTGGACACAGTGGCTTGAAACTCACGCCGGGCGCGTGTACGTGCGTGCCCAAGATCCCAAGAGGAGAATGGAGAAGTGACTGCAGTGTGGCCATCCTCCCAGGGGGTAATTCCTTGCTTTCTCTCTCCGCCTCTCTGTCTCTCCAGTGAGTGCACACACCCTAGAGCAAAAAATCTCTCAAATAATAACAACGACAACAAATAAAATTAAATACGTAATTCTTTTAAAAAAAAAAAAAAAAGTTCTATCTAGGGCCAGCTAGTGGCATGATGGTGGCTAGATCCCACCTGGCCAATGGTGCAGTTTGGCCTGGACCTGGAGGCTTGGAAAACATGCCAGGTATGTGTGTATGTGTACCCCAAATCCCAAGAGGAGAATGGAGAAGAGATTGTAGCGTGGTCATCCTCACTAGAGGAAAGAAGTATTTAAAATGGCTAAAAACAGAACTGCTGAATGAAAAGAGGGACAGATGTTCTGGGAATAAATTTATTTCCTAACCAGCACATCATAGCCTGAACACGTGGAAAAACCCTGTGGCAGCATTACTGGGAGACAGCCCAGTACAGTCCCCCCAAGAACAGGTCTTGTGGGGGACAAGCGGATGGCATAACAGTTATGTTGCTGGACTCCCACATACTCAACAATGGTTCAAGTCCCAGACCCAGTGGCTTGAAACTCACACCAAGTGTGTGTGCGTGTATTTCCCAAGAGAAAAATGGAGGAGAAGGGATTGTGGCATGGCCACACCCCTGGAGGGGTGATTTCTCTCTTTCTGTCTCTCTGTCTCTATCTCTCTAGCGAGTGCACACACCCTATAGCAAAAATCTCCCTCTAAAAAAATAAGTAGGTGGTGTGGTGGGCAAGGTGCTTGACTCCCACATGGTTGAACATAGTCTGAGTCCCAGACCTCATGCCTTGAAAATTATGCCATGCATGCATGCGTGCGTGCGTGCATGATCATAATTCTGAGAGAATAGAGGGGAAGGCTAGGGTGTGGCCCCTGGGGAGTGATTCTTCACTCTCCCTCCTTCACTCTGTCTCTCTGTCTCTCTCTAGTGAGCACACACGGCCTTATAGAAAAAAAAAAGTATGACGAATAAGCAGAGACACCGAGAGTGACGCCCATACCTGTCTGTAGGTATCCTGGTGATGCTCCTCATTTCGAGAGTCATAATACTGTTCAATGAAGCCAAAATATTCCTCCCGCTTCCTCTGCAAGGTCAACTTCCTCCGCTCGGTGTTTGCTGGGAGATAGCCCTGTAAACAAGACTGCCAGTCAGATGGGGGAGACATTGGTTGGACTCCCACATAGTCCAATAAATATTTCATTTTTATTTTAGCCTGAGCAGTGGCTTGGAAACTAGCAAAGGAATGAAGAAAAGAATGAAGAAAAACTGCCAAAAGGACAGGGGTAGATCCCTGTTTGGTTCTGGCCACCTGGAGTTTGCCCTCTCCTCGCTCAGTGGGATGACGTGCAGGCAGCCAGGCGAGGCCAACTTTCCCTGGGTCCCTCTCCCCCTGGCCAGCACTGGACCCTTCCCCTCAGAGACCTTTCACTGCACTGCGGTGAGCAATCCAGGGCTCCCAGGGCCAGCTCAGAGAGAGCGGGGAGTGTAGGCCAGTGGGAGGGAGCTGGCCCCAAGTCACGGCCGCCAAGGGCTACAGGTGTGCGAGGCCACACTTCCGGGAATCGTGGGGACCCGGCAATCCCTACCTCACTTCTCAGTGGTGTGCCAAGTCAGTTGGTGCCAGTTACACATTCCTGGCCACTGTGGCATTCAGGACGCAGCTCAGGAAGCAGAATGGAACCTGTGACCTGGCGGCTCCCACACCTAGACCGCACTCCTGGCAGCAACCCGCTCCAGGCCACAGCTCCGGGCTAGCGCTCATTCTTATTCCTGGTCTAGGTCTCGTCGTCATGTTACATGCCTGGGTCCCTTCCATTCTCACCAAATCTGAGCAATTAGCACTCGGACTTCTCGGAGGTGGAGAGGCGATGATTAGGGTTGTCATCGTGGGGATGAGACTGGGGCTGGGACGAGCAGTAAGGGGAGAGACCCTTCCCCTCGGAGACCTTTCTGTAAAGCATTCCGCAGAGTGCCCCGTGCACGCACGCTGCAGTCGATCCGTTCTTGTCTGCTCATAGCGCCTGGCACTGGGCCTGGCAAACAGCAGGCTCTCTCTAAACCGTTACCAGGTGAATGAAGGAACTTTACAGGCTCGGGAAGTCCTGTGTTCCTGACCACAGTGGCCGGCGCAGAGCTCTGCGGGCAGGGAAGTGACAGTAAGGCTTCCGTGAGAGGCTCAGTTAGCAGCTCTTTGGGGCTGCCGCGTGGTTTCAGCCATTCTGGTTACCCCACTGACAAGGGAGTGGAGCACAGCGAATGCTGGCCCCTGCCCAGAGCAAGTGCTGGGATCACCCTGCCACACTGTGCTTCCCGCTGTCGGGGGGACACGGCCACGGGGCTGAGCCTGTGCTCCTCTGCGTGTGCAGGGATGAGAGAATCCCCACTCGCCGTGTGTGGGAATGGCCTCAGCGTGTGTTTCTCTCAGCACAGAAACAGGACGACAGTCCCCAGTCCTTGTCATATCCAATGAGTCTATGGGGTGAGACCAATGCGTCCAGACTGACCTCATCGGGCAAGAAGGGCTGTGTGAGGCTCACGCTTCTCTACAGAGTGGGTACAACTCACCGACAGGAGTCTCCAGGTTACAGGTCGAACCTCCCTGGGAACCCCTGGCCAGCTACACTTCCTCAGCTCATCTGCAAACAGAAAATGCCCTTCTTGATTAGCTCTTCCCACATAGGCAAGCCTCAACCAGCACGGTCCGACGCCACCTACCATTCAGGTAAGACCACCACCACCACCCAGCAACCTGCTACCAACAAGCACAGGTAAAGCTCAAACGACAGCCCCGAGCAGCCAAGTGCGGAGGACCCTGCCCTGCAGTGATCTAGTCAGCTCAGAGGTGCGTGTTGGAGAGGCAGAGGTGGGTGTGGATTTCAGTAGGAATCACCCCAAGATAGGGGAGACTGAAGCCAGAACAGCTGCACTGTTATCTCCGGGCCACAGACACTGTCCCCTCATTTGGTTCCCTAGTCTCCAAATACTCCTGACTTAATACCTGCATGTCACCGCAGTGGGCACCAGATCAGGAGATGCTAGAAAAGTAACAGAAGGAAGAGGAGAGAGCAATGGCTTCCAGGTCTCTGAGAATTCCAGCCACCAAGAGCTCCTACCCTCCCCGGGGCTCACGGAGACTCACCTAAGTCAGTGTTGTGGCTGGAGAGAAGTTGACGGAATTTTTCGAGGCGGGTTTTCTCCCGGACAGTCATTGGGGGGGCTCCGGAAGCATTCTGGTCTGAGATCCGGGCAACGAGGGGGATGATGGGTCGGAGGGGGAGTGACTGCTGTTTGTGGAGTGGGTTCCTTAGGCATGTGTCACCTGGGATCATTGAAAGAGAAAGACCCGGCTGTATGAAGAGCACGTACTCGGAACCCGCACACCTCGCCCTTCAGGATCGTGGTCTGAGAGTGGGTGCACTGCCTGATGCGCCCACCGAGGGCGGTGAGGAGGTGGAGACCCGGCCACGCTCACTCACCTGCCTGGGGACAGTCTGCTAACACAGACTCCACATGCTGTGGCGACTTCTGAGAACTTTTTTTGGCAAGTCCAGGAGAAAATCCAATGTTTCCTTTGTACCCCAACCTGGAGTGTTTCCTAGCGCCTAACGGTGGGGCTGGTGGCAACGTGGTCTACAGTAGAATTTTCCTTCCCCTTCCACATCACAGAGCACATAATAAATAATGACACTGCAAAGCACACCACAATAAAAGAAGGTGGCTGCTCCCGATAAGCCCCGTGTCCCACGTGGCTGCCCCCGGGGACGAGAGGATCGACATTTTTTTTTTTTTTTGGAGAGGTTTTCGCTATAGGGTACGTGCGCTCGCCAGACA